AGCCAACATTAATAAAAGGTGGTGACCAAATGGTGATTCTAGTCATAAAAAATTAAAAAATATAGTGTTACGACTCAGTTGCTACTTTTATCATGTTCAAATCAAATACTTAGAAAATAGCTAGTATTTCATTTTATCCTGTTTGTTTGAATCTTTCTATTGATGTTTAGGACTGCAACTCATTAGTCTCTTGTTGGCTTATGTGCATCCTGTACGTATTGCCTTAATATTGCCTTAGGTCACAAGCATTATAATCAAAAGTAAATGATGGCTAGCAGTGGAATCCAGGACGCGCGCTTCGTTCTATTTGAATTTGGTCAGTTGTAAACCCAAAGATTAATGTGAAGGTTCAAACAAACAATACAAATGAATCTACACTTCACCCAATTACACAAGCCAGTGGCTATCGGGACTCAGGAGTTTGAAGCGAACAGTACTGGGTTCGAGTCCCAGAGTGCAAGCACATGTAGCTGAGGAGTCCCAAATAGAAAGAAGGGCGCGTCCTGGATTCCATTGCTATTCACCACCCATCTTTGACTATAGCTTATATTTGTTTGTAGACGTATAAATATTTCCATTAGTTTGGAAAAATACAGTTATCAGTCACTTGTCTTTCAGATTACAGTCTATATTCATCTATTTACTATCATAAATTTATGTATGTATATATTTTAATAACTCACCTTTGTGTTTTTTCACTCATGCAGACTAAAAATATGGATATGTTTTACACGCCTTCATAATTTATCTATATCATAAATAGATCGGATAATTATTTTCCCTTTATACTATTCTATGAAAAATGAAGTAAAAATTATCTTAGAATTTAGTGATAAACTCTTTTCACAGTTGGACAAAATGAGTAAAATCGCTTTTAGTCTTTAAAAAAATTATCCTTTATAATGATTCAAATTCAGTTGTATTATTTATAATGATATTTACGAATAGTTTTAATGAGTCAATTGAAGGTAGACCACCATGGAAAACGTGAAATAACTGGACGGCCGTTTCACCCTAGTATGGGACTCCTCAGCAATGCGCAGTCGCGATCCCACTCACATGACCCGAACTCAGAACCTATAAGTCTCGCGCATGAACCCTTATCCTCTAGACGCGTGTTTCGTCCTATTCAGAACTCGTCAACTGCATATACCTGTATCTCAGGGTTAATGTTCACTCTGGGACTCAAACCCAGTACCGTTCACTAGTGTATTAAGGCAGTATCGAGGCAGTATACACAGTATGCATATATGCCAATACGTGACTGAACAATCGCAGTCTTAAACATCAATAGGAAGATTGAAGTAAACAATAACAAATGAATTTAATCAATATAATGTTATGATAAAAATCATTCATGTTAAAAATCTATTAGGCATCCATTTATAAGTTTGATCTGCCTACATAGACTTTCGCTTGTATCATTATAGTGAATATTTGTTAAAATGTTTGTTCACTCCTTTCCTATCTTTACATGCTTATCGACTAGTCTGTTTATTTACAGATAAATGCAAACTCTTATTTAAATGAATCAATTCAGATCAAAATCTAATCACTGTTTGATTTTTAATTTAAATTTTCAAAGAAATTAATGTTTCCATGAAAGAAACTAACAAAATTTAATTCCTGGTCTTGTGCATCCATTTAGGGACAATGACATCGCATCAATAATAAACAATTCGTAAACATTCAAAATTAACTTTATCAGTGGAAAAACAATGAAGTTATTGGCGGAGTTTTGTTCACTGAGCTGGATGGTTTGGCCGTGAAGCTTCTATCGTTCTTCTGAACGACCTCATCAGCACAAACTTCAGGTAGAAGTGAAGTGTTCGAATTTCTCCATATGGTTATCAACCAATCAGGAAAATTATGCACAAATATAGGAACGAAAATCAAACCAATGGGAGACACAACCAAGACAAAGAAGTGAACAATGATAAATTTAAGGTCAATAAGAACCAATCAACATCGAGGTGCACAGAACAAGCTGTGGAACACATATGGAGAAATTCGAACACTTCACTTCTACCTGAAGTTTGTGCTGATGATGTCGTTCAGAAAAACGATGAAAGCTCCACGACCAAACCATCCAGCTCAGAGAACAAAACTCCACCAAAATCATCCACCTGAGCTACAAATCTTCTCCACCATCTCCATAATGAAGTTAAAAATGTAATTAATATTGATATACCTATAAAATGAGTAAATCCGTTGGTCAAGTAACCTAAGTAACATTTTATTAGGATAAGATTAAGTATGCGATACACGCTTGGAAAACTGATAAAAATATAGTTTGATCAAAAAAAATGTAGCTGTATGATACATTTGAAATTAACACCATGTATATCAGTGGTAATTCTCACAGTTTACTTAAATCAGGACAAATATATTGAAAAATCCAGTCACTTCTAATAAACAAACAGAATTAATGTAAACTTATAAGTAACTTCACTGCAGTTATGCATACTGTGTAATTCTTGTAAGTAAATGTAGATGTAGTTTAAGCAAGACAAGTTTTCTATAGAATTTGAATTATATCAAACAATAGATCGTTCATGACAATTAAACAAATTATAAGTCATAAAAATAGATGATTCTAGGGCAGTTAAACTTTCTAGATAGAAATTATTTGTTTCCCTAATTTTAATCTTTTTTTTCTTAAGTATTTTGTAGCAAAACTCGACACAAAAATGTTAATCACGCACTTTCCCTTATCAACTTTTAAGACAACATCAATAATCATGGTACACAATGTTAAAATTACTTCAAATTTAGAACGTAAAGCTAAATATTCATTTGTTATGATAAAAAATAGAATATAAAGTGCATTCCTTATAATGACGATATTAACATTCCTAGGGTCCGGTTTTTTTTAAATTTAACAACGTAGTTACTAGGTTATACTATTTGAAAAAATTAAAACCATTTATTTCAAACTGACATAAGGCAATCGACGCCTCAACACAACTATAGATCGTTATAATCCATCAACAATAACACCGGTATATACCAAAATAGAAAAGGAACGACATAAAAGGTAAACTTGTATAGAAAAACCAAAAATACAAAATATGGAAAGGTAGAAGTTGAAGAAGTGTAATAAACTTATATTTATGATTAAGTACAAATGAATTTTGGATTCTTGCCTTTGTGTAAAAGATTTTACAAATAATCATGATTGTATTCAACAACGTTGTGTAAAATTAAATACATTGCTGTCGCATTCACAGTTTATGTGGGAACTCAACTAGTTTCTATTAATTTGATATTTTTTAATAACAGTTTAGCATACAGTTTAACAGATATAGTCATGCATTAGGATTCATGTATGATCATTATAATTAGATAGGTCACTTTTTGAGAATTAACTAATATCTGACAACTCAACTCAGTAACAATTTTATCAACTTTGCCAAACGTAAAGAGTATGGTTGAAATGAAATTAAACTATATTGTAATCGCATAACAAGTCACCTATCTATATTTCTCTACAATAAAATCATTGAAATCTTGCTTTGTCATAAAATAACACTTTTGGCTGAAATCTATTTTCCAAAATTTTCTCATGTTTTTTTTTTGTTTTTCGTTTTGTTACTCATCTAAAAGTAAACATCATTTTTCATAACTACTGAGAATTGAATAATTCTCAGATGAATACGTTTCTACTTTATATTCCATTAGATTTCAAATTAAATTGTTTACTTCTCTGACTTAAATCAACCATTCATTAATAAGCTATAATTTTAAAAGCTTACAATGTTATAGAAGCGTTCTATTCAAATGTAAATATACATAACATAATCCATTAAATTTAAAATAAATTGGATTTTAGACCTTTTTTTTCCTAATAAGAGAATGAAGTTGATTATATAAACATATAGGCGTAAGAGATTTCGATTATATAGAGATATAGTATGTATAGCATGTATGTTCATCATTATAGGTAAATTGTATCAAAGTGAAAATAAGTGGAAAGAAAATAATCCATCTATCAATATTCATTTAAATATTTATTATTGAATCAGACTAAATAATGAAAGAAAAAGAAAATTTATTTTTCACTTACCAAACATTACAAAAAACAACAACAAACAAATATCTAGTTTCAATAAGCAAAGATGGACAGTGGTCAGCAGTGGAATCCAAGATGTGCATTTCGTCCCATTTAGGACTCGTCAGCTGGATGTATCTGCATCTCAGAGTTGATGTTTACTTGGAGACTCGAACCCAGTACTGTTCGCTTCAAACCCCAATTTTAAAAATTCAAATGAATTTAAGTTTAGGTACAACCTATTTGTACGCATTCGAAACACTAAATAAGTAACTAATCACTATGTAAATTATCTTAAAAGTTAAAACTCCCCCTTCATTGTGTTAGATATAATAAAATTCTGTATAATTACCGAATAATAAAAAATTAATTCACATAAATCACGAATTTAGAAAATTATAGCAGCCTATTACGGATTATTTTTAAAATACTCATTGAAACATTTTGGATAAAAGCTTTTGTCAATGTGAGTAACTTGCATGGATCAAACGTTTGGTCCTTAATTTACTAATTCAATTTATAGTTGTTTATATATGCACATATATAAAACCCCCAAAACTAGGTAACTGGAAGACCACTGTTTGTCCCTAGTCATCTGCTACTAAGAATAAACGCTAATAAAATGTTACTAAAGTAGCTCATTAAAAAATCGTCAGATTTTATTAAACATTTCGACAAACCCTCTTAGTTCGTTTAAAATTAACTAATTAACCAAGTTTACATAGAACACATTTTGGCACGATATTCACTATCCTGATATGGATTCCCAGAATAGTTACAAGTTTGCATTTATATACGTGCATATATACCTATTCTTTAGGATTAATAATTTGTAATAAGGACTGTAGAACCTGATGAGAATTTATTTACAAAACTATTTTGCTTTTATATATTTGTGTTTTAATATATGCAATTTACCTCACTGATAAATTTAACTGAAGAAGGGATAATGAATGTGATAGAATGATATAACTTCATTATATTTGGAGGTTTCTCATCAGACACTTACAACCTAAATAAAATATCATGCAATTGGTTCCCTTTATGAATTTAAATAGAGCAAGAACAAACATTGATGCAGAATAGTATGAATTCATATTATTTCGAGGTTTCTCGTCATCTGCTTACAAACCAAAATTGTGATAGAATTTTTTTACATGGAGATAGTGTGAAACAATTGACCGCGCACGCAAAATCTGCTCAAAAGAAAGCCTCGAAGAAGAAATTGCTACAATCACCAAATGCCTACGTGAAAATGCATATCCGGAGAAATTCATCCACAAATATGCTAATACAAACCCTCCGATTAAGCATAATACAGTTGAAACGAAAACCTACTTCCTATCCTTGCGCCTCAAAGGAGATGAAGTCGCCGGAATTATCAATCACAGAATTAATTCCACTTTAAAAGTGGCCTACCCTGCAGCCAAACTGACTACGTTATGGAAAACATACTGCTCACTGAAACAAACGAAGATCGACAAGTCCTCTCCCCTCAGTTGCTCCAACTGCATTTACCAATTCCCATGTACGTGCCGTAGCAAATACATTGGAAGAACTGAGAGAAGAGTGCAAGTTCGCATTTCTGAGCATATTCCGAAGAACTTGACGCTGCGAGGGACTAAAGCTTTCAACTGTGCAATAGCTCGGCATCTACTTGACACCGAGCATACCGTCGATATTCTGCACGCGTTTAAAATTATCAATAGACAAAGAAGTACTACCACTCTCCGCTTTGCTGAAGCCATTGCAATTAAGAAACTGAAACCGGATTTATGCATTCAAAAAGAGACTGTAATAAACTCATCACTACCCTGGTAATCTCTTTTATTTCCGTTTGTTTTTTATGTTTTGGTTATTTGGGTATTTTATTCACTTACTTATTTTAAGATATTTTATACTCACCCCCCCCTATTACCTAATTCTTAAACTAAAATTTTGTTCACACATTTCCACCACCTGATCTTCTTAAATTATCTTAACTTTTCAAATTCTATTTAATTATTATTACGTAATCTACCTTATCATTATTCAATTCCATTAATCTCTCTAATTATCACACAACTTATGAACTTCACTAAACTATTACAGAACCCAACCTGAATTAACCCTTTTTTTTACCTCTGACCTGTTTCTAGCATATATATACATAGTTATTATTGTAATCCAGTTATTTACACTCATTTATGTCAATTGTTTCACACTATCTCCATGTAAAAAAATTCTATCACAATTTTGGTTTGTAAGCAGATGACGAGAAACCTCGAAATAATATGAATTCATACTATTCTGCATCAATGTTTGTTCTTGCTCTATCTAAATAAAATAATAGAATTCAGCGAAATCAGTGTACATAGTTTAGATTGTATTACCAAAGATCTTCATATCAATAAAGATCAATCAAATAGATGACAAGTAATAGGTAAACTATAATGCTGTTTGATTTGTACTTAAATATTTCTATTTATGTTTTAAGGATTACATAACTATAACATAATGTTTCATCTCTAATCAATTCTATTTCTATGACCCTATTCTTTATTTTAAAATATTTATTCAACATGTAAATATCATTTATAGTTGTCGTTTCATTACTTGTCGTCTATTTGATTGATCTTTATTGATGAGAATATCTTTGGTAATACATTCTAAACTATGTACAATGATTTCGCTGAATTCTATTATTCTATTTAGGTTGTAAGTATCTGATGAGAAACCTCCAAATATAGTGAAGTTATATTATTCTGTCACGTTCATTATTCTTTGTTTTATCAAATTTTTATATGAATTGATACATTTGTACATTTTTCATTTATTGTCGGCATTACATTGTTTAGAAACAAATAAATTATGAGAAATAGAGCAGCAAATGTGAAATAGTGTTTTTCAACTGACTTCCGCTAAAATCAATACGTATTCCCTAACTATATGATAAAAAGTATTTGGACAAAAGATGAAATAAATTCGTAGTTTTTCTTTCCTTTTCATTAGACTTTTCGTTTTTATAAATGCAATTGTACATAGTACAGGATTAGTATCAGTTATCCTTAATACTTTGATTTGTTTCGTCATACCATACACTACAAGTTCCAGTTAACATTTAATTCTTTAGGTTAGCGTTGCTTATGTTACTTTTGAAAAAACGACTAGAGTTACTAAAATACCTGAACATAGAAACCAATGTAATTTCTACAATGTAAATAAGAATACGATAACTGAATATAAAAGATTTATTTCACTCTGTGAATCACATTTACAGTTGTTATAATGCCATAATACTTGAATGAGTGAATCTCATGGTGCACGTGAGATGACAACAGATAATGATTTATTTCACAATGAAAGTAAATCACAATTACATTTGAAGTATATTGGTTTATAGATGTTTCACTTTCACTAAAGAACAATCAGATTTTCATGAATTAGGCTACGAAGACGTTGTACAATTTTCGTGGCTTAAAAAACTTTTTTTGTTGTTCTCGAGTGAATTATCACTGTTTAATATCAAAATTTATGAAAACTTTCTGTTCTATGGTTTTTGACAATCTAATTGGCTACTTATGAAAACAATGAAAATAAAAACTGAATCCCATATAAATTCATTTACGAACTGTATTTCATTGAATGTACTTGTCAATTGTAATTAAAAATGCATTCACTTTTTCAGTTTGCATCAAATACGGGGTTTTTTTTAAAGAGAAAATTTAATCTTAAATGCAACCAAATTCATGTCACCATTCATTTTTATTTCTATTCAGTGATTTGCTACATAATTAACGACTGTTTTCAAATCTAATTATACTGTTACCAAAGAAACAAAAATTTTGGACGCCGAGATTAGTAGAATTAAAAGAGGAAATTTTCGCAGTCATGAACAAAGGTAGATTCCTATATCGTTTAATAAACAAGTTCTGAAAAGAAACTGTAAAATACTTTTAATAGCGTTTAAAATATTATTGTTAAATTATAGGTTGTAAACAATATCTCTATTCCTTTGAGTATATATATATATATATATATGCAACTTAAGGTTATGTCAATAGGATGTAGAATTAACATTATTGAATTTAGGGATTGCTTCCATAAATCCATTTTTCGAATAACAAACAAACAAGTAAACAAACTGAAGCTTCTTCAGATAACTATTTTTACTAATGAAGTATACAGTTTATTTGGTTAAATTAATCTTAAGTAAGTCAGTTATATAAACAAAATGAAAAAAAGTTATTTTGTGAAAGTATCCATATGAAAGTTCAATGGATTTTGAATAACAATACTTATATTGTTAGTTGAAGTTGATTTTAATTTCTACTATTTTAACATTTACACACCTCTGAATGATACAGATGATTCACAATAAGAAAAACAATAACAATACTAAAAACAACCGAGTTTAGAACTGACCTTGAGATGTTTATGCTTTATATCAATCAATTAGAATATAAATCATTAACATGGATAATATAACACTTACCCCAGAGTTTCATTACAACATTTGAAAGAATAAAAGTTTGATAAAGATACTCCATGGTATTTGTATTGTATTATGAACAGATTTTGTATAAAGGTGTAGACTGGTTAATGGGCCGAATAGATCATGTAAACTGACAATGATACAATGATTATGTCGAAAATTCATCCAATAATATATACTGATAACTGAGCCCATTATCAAGAACAATTGAACATGCATACTGTTTTCAGAGAACTAACCGAAATTTTAAAAAATCTATAACATATTGTATACAGTCGTTTCTAAATCTTTCACTAGAAAGAGTCAGTATTATACTTTTCTTTAAGAAATACATATTCTCATTTATAATGTGTAACTTCTACTTCGAATACTACTTTTTACTTCGTATAGTGAATTCTGTCAATTGCTCATTACTTTCTACACTCAAACATTTCTAAATTACTTATTGTTACTAGTGCGAATGTTTTGAGATTGGATACAATGGCAAAAGTCTTAAACTTCAGTATCATGCCATTGAAAAAACAACTCAAATCTACTGGTTATCAATTGCAGCCAGTAAAACATTGTGTGTTATATTTAACAACCATACAGTAAGCACTCGTTGCCCTAAGACAGTATAAATGCCTTGATGACTTTCATCAAACTGCCCAAAATGTCAATTTAACGCTTTCGGCCAGTTATCATGAACTACCCAAAATGAAGCAATATTAACTGTAAAATCAATCAAGTAAATTAGACTAATGGAGGTTAGTCATAACTGCAGCATTGAAAAATAACATTGATCAGTTTTTCTCTATAAATTCGTACGGTTTTTCAAATTTTGCTTGTATACAGCATAAATTAGTTGCATTTTTATAGAATAAATACCTAATTGCATCAATAATATACCATCTCATTCGTTAGCATGATAATAAATTGAATGAGAACAGTTATAATTCATTGCTGACGGATATGACTTCTAAAGCACTAACAGCAGTACCGAAATTCAAAGAGTTCTGCTGTAAGTAACGTGAAATAACTGAATTACGTAAAACCTGTCTAAATGTTGCATTAAATTACATAATTTGAGTTCATAGCACTAGGAATAAGAGCAACCCCTGTTCGTAATTTCGACAGTTCAGTTAGCGACCAATCAGAGTGAAGCGGGAATAATCATTTCCGCTATCACTGTAAGCGATGGTGGTCGGCTTGCTTCGTTCTGTGTGGTTTTCCTCTGGTTTGTTAGCGTTGCTACAGTATTTGGTCTCTCAGTGTGCCGGAATTCTATAATTTATATGATACTTTTAATGTTGAGGCTACTTTTTTCAATAAGTTTTGTTTTCTCAGTTTCTACTACCTCTACTACTACTACTACTACTACTACTACTACTACTACTACTACTACTACTACTCAGGTTAGTGTATTCTTTACGGTATGTATTTCATGTCACAGAATGTTAATCCGCTTTGTTCTGAGACACTAGCGTGCATTTTTCTCCTTATGATCAATGTTGCTATTACATGGGAATTTCTAACCGTTCGCATACTCGTTCCCGAATTTCGCTTATTATGCTATTGAGAACAATGAAAGAAAACGATTTCCGGTTTGTTAGTTCTTATCGTATTATAGATAACCCTCTTCTGTTAATGAGTCACACAAATACTGAGTGTCTAGTTGTGAACATAAGTGATATATTCAAAAGGTTTATGAAACCCAAGTACCTGACAAACTGGGATCAAGTCAGAGATGCTATTTAGTTAGTTACTGAAAATATTCCACATAACCTTATTAGATGACTTGGGTGAATTACGTGGTTCATTAAAGTAAGCTGAACGACGAAAAGCCGAGTATCTGCTATCATTATGGTGTGTAGGTTTGTTAATTCGGCCATATGACGATTTCATTGACGTTATGTACGTAAACATGACCATTACTCCTGTCCACGATACACTTATTTGACGCGACAATATTGAGTATATTTTCACTGCGCGATAGTAATGGAGTTAAAATAAGTCAGTGTTTATTTATTTAATGATGAAAAATATTTCAGGGCATTATTCACCACCAAAC